AAATGCCCTCCCCCTCCCCTCACAATAACCAATCATCTATACGGTCAAATTCCCCTACATCACAAGAAAAATTTCCGAAAAACACACAAAAATTCCGATTAAAATTTCAGCAAGACCACACATCTTACCACAATTCTCCCTAAACCAAACTCAACCTCATCCCTCCCACTCCACTAGCCACGCCCTACAGCTGATCCCCAGGAAAGGGGACAGCTGCACACAATCCTGTTCCTCCTCTAAAACGCAATAATCACCTCTGTCGAACAACAACAAATTTCGAACTCACTTAGCCGTCATATCCTCCTCAGCTTAGACAACCTCCTTAATAGGGGCATTCTCAACCACCTCAAGCTCAGCCTCGAAATGGTCGTTTATATCAATTGTTTACATCTCATCACCAGGGTTAGAAACTCCTTCAAAAGCAATGGTGAACCGGTCGGCATCGTCAGGTGCATGCCCTCTAATAAAAAGGAGACAGATTTTGTGCAATCGGACTGGTTTTACGCGGAGTGGCGTAATACTCTGTGAAAAACGCGATATTCGCGGTGATATGCAGTAGTCGTAAAATATACTTTTCATATCACCGATTGCGAAATTTCCATGAATCTCTTCGAAGTTCGAGGTCACTCCCAAGATCGACTTCTCCAAGCCTGATAGTGCTCTTGAAGCTCAGGAGTACATAGTTTACTGAACACCAGGCTCCATGATTTGGAAAAGGAATGGTATGAAAAATAACTTGCACGCATGCACATCTCCCGTTATCTTTCTTACTGACCAATGCGCTTGAACTTAAGACCACAGTCAATAAGCTGCTGACAATAATACACTTCCTTTCGTTCTCTCTAAACTTCCTCCCCAAGTGGTACGTAAATTCCCCAACTTCAACTGAGGATTTTACACACTGAAACAATCACTTAAACGGCGGCAGGAAGGCGTTTTTCGTTTTTTTTCGCGCCATAATAAACAGCCGTGAATATTACGGTTGGATCTCGCACAGTGTAATTCATCGATACACCCATTCCGAAA